GCACATAAAGTAAATTATATGAAAATAATTTATAAATAGATAGCAAAAAAACCATTTTGGGAGAAACCCATATTAGACAAATAAAGTTTAGACCCCATGCATTACTCGATTTTAGCTATAGGGGGAGAGAGACAGCAACAGCAAAATCAATATAGCAGAGTGAGAATAGGAAAACTCAAGAGGCCAGAGAACAAAATGGCCAAATCAAGAACGATAAAACCAAATTACCGCACCATGGAATCCTAAACTTCATATAAAGAAATTGAAGAAATTAAAAACCCCTAAATTTACAAACATGCCCACAAATTTCCTCAAAGGTAACCCCTAAATCAAGAACATGAAATTGTGTAGAATATTAAAAATTCAAGAAGGGAAGTACCGAAGAGAAAAGAGGGAAAAAAAACTATTAGTGGGAAAGGATAAATAGGGAAAAAAAGATGCAATGTGCACTCACCAAAGTCTCTCCTCCTTTCCTACTTCTTCCTCTTCTCCCACGCTCTCCTTCTCTTCCCTTCCTCTCTTCCTCCCGCTCTCTCTCTCTTTCTTTCTTCTCCTCTCTCTCTCAAACAGGTCATTTCTCTCTCTTTCCCACTGCTCTCCCTCCTTTTTTTCCTTTTTTGTCACGCGACCTTTCTCTTTCTGTAGCTACCACGTGCTATTTGAAGGGCCACCGATTTGGCCCATTTCAGTCAAGTGAACTCAGCCGCTCGTTTAAATTGAAAGGCTGGGAAAGAGGGGAAGTATAGAAGTATTATCCTATAGAGGAAGTATAAAATGTTTCCCCTAAAAAAGTATAGCGTCCACATGATCGGGGCGCTTAAAGGGTGCACAAGCACCACCCCGATGTTCAAATCAAAAGAAAGGAAATTGGGCAATCATGATTGTTATGTTATTTTAAATTTTTCTACAATTCTGATTAATTTGAGACTTGGACGTCCACAACCTCCAATCAAGCACACTTAAAAAAAAAATTGATTTACAACTATAAATTCGTCGAAATTCCCCAAAAATATTCAGGGGTATTTTGCTCAATTTATTTTATAAATTATTTTTTTATTGTTTAGGTGCACCTATGTGTGACACAAACACTTCCAAAGTTTCATGTCGATCTAATTAGTAGAAAAAAATTAAAATTAACATACTATATAAAATCGTGGACATCCATGCTTTCCTCATAATCTATACCATTGAAGGGTGCTTGTGCACCAAAGCACCCTTCCAGCGCCCATTTCTCTACTATTTGGAGAGACCTAATAAGCTTTGTATTTTCATATTTGATGTTGCTTATTAAATGGTGAGAACATGAGAGAGAGAGAGAGAGAAAGAAAGAAGTTGCTTTTTTTCCTATAGTTAGATACTTTTCCTCAATATTTGGAGAGACCCATGAATTTTCCCTTAGCCAAGAGTTAAGAGAGAATATCCACCTAAATAGCATTAAAAATAAGATTAAAGAGACTAAAACAGGCAAATTAGGAATCAATGGGGAAAGATCGAGAGTATAGAAACATGTCAGAAAATAATAAGGGGTCCCCTTCCCATTTAATATTCAAAATAAATTGAAAGATAGATAATTATCATCTGGATCACTACCTATCATATACTTCATGACAAGACCAAACAAATGGCAGCAGATATTCAATATATCTACGAAAAATTAGTAAAAGAAATCATCATCCTCACATACATCTGGTTTGAATATTTTGTACTAGCTAATTAAATCAAATAAGGCACAATTACTTGGTGAAGAACAATCTATTGATATGATCCATTGATGCTCCAGTTTGGTGAGACTATCGCTGAGGGATGGAATTCACCACTTAACCTGTCTGAGTGACTCGAGCAAGATCAAGTCGAATTGCCCAAGTCGCCCAATTAACCCAAAAACCCCAAAAGAATTAGGAAAAATTGGAAACTTGAAAAAAATAGAAAACATCCAAAAAAAATACAAAATAAAAAAAAATATATACATGGAATATTATGATCATATTAGCTAGGAAAAAAAAGAAAAAAAAAACCAAAAAAGGAAAATTAAGAAAAATAGTTAATTGTACTATAAAAGTACATAAAAAGTTAAAGTTAACAAATTCAAAAAAAAAGTACATACAAAGTTAATTATTAATCACTTATAATTTATCTGAGAAGCAAGCATGGAACAAATTTTATCATATATCAGCCACCTATTGAGAAATTGGGAAAAACTTAGTAGAAATCTTTAATCTCTCAAATATTTGATATAGATAGTGGATAGAACTTGGGAAAGACAAATCCATGGGCCAAATTTGGACTTAAATGTGTTAGTTTTGAGCTGAAAAATGAACAAAAGAAGCGGGGGAAGGGGGTAGGATGCAGTTACCCCCACCCCCCCCTGAGCTCTACGAGTTCTAGTGACTCACTAAGTCCCCCTGTTCAAGTTTATGTCGAATGTGTTTTTATATTTGTAAATGTACCAAGGGCATGTTTTTTATTGTTTCACAATCATGCCATTATTTGTACATAGCCTTGCCTGAGCATTTCTTGTCATATATTCTAATACACATACTTTACGTAAGTGCTTAGTTGATCCTCCATCATAACTTACTTACTCCATCCATGATGACCTTAATGAAAAGTTAGTTTTACATGCATCTTGCAGCACATCATTGTACATCACAAGAATTATTAACACCAATTCCCTGAGCATCAAATTATAACTTGTACAGGACTACGGCTACGTTGCATGGGATTTAACATTAAGTCTTAATTTAGGGAGTGACTTCTGAGAGAAGAGTAACACAATCCCAAATTTGCATGTTTTGGGGCTTAAAGGTAAACAAAGGTGCTTTGACTAATCACATTTTTATGGGGATGATTCTAACAGTATTATGGCCCAACTCAAATGATACATTTTGTTAAGAAAACTTTATCAAAACAGCTCCACATACAACATTAACCCAAACTTCATTATCAACTCCAAATTTTGTGCTATATAATAGTACAAGGGAGTTCTCTGCTTAGACTTAATGCCAAGCAATGCCAAACTTATCATGCCAAGCCTTGCTGCTTTTCCATACAATGGTTCAAGCATTCTTAGGATCAAGTTACTAATTCCAAAGATATAATCAAGCTCATCATCATTATAGCCTTTTCCTAATTATTTGGGGCGGCTACACGAATCTTGGTCTGTCATTCTACTCTATCAAAGGTCATACCTTTAGTGAGGCCATAAGTCCCCATATTTTTTCTTACTGCTTTCAACCTTATCCTTTTGAACCTACCCCTTCCATTTTTTAACCCTCCACTTGAACTATCTCACACTTCCAAACAGGTGTTGTACTGGGTCTGCGCTGCAATAGCTGGCCTACCTTTGTTTAGTTTCTCTCATATTATTGTCTATTGGAGTCACAACTAAGTTCTCTCGAATGTATTCATTTTGAATTCTATCCCTTCTTGTCCTGCCACACATCTATCTCAACATCCTCATCTGAGCTACAATCATCCTATGAGTATGTTGTTTCTTGACCGCCCAATATTCCACCCCATAAAGCAAAGTTGTTCCCACAGCTATCCTATAGAACTTCTCCTTCAGCTTCATTGGCGTGCGAAAATCACATAAAAGTCAAGTTGCATATCTCCACTTCGCCCACCCAACTCTAATTCTATATGCGACATCTTCCTCAATCTCTCCATTTTTTTGGATTATCAACCCAAGATATGAAAGTGCGTTCTTTTTGGTATTTTTTGGCCGTCAATCTTATTGAATACTTCCTCATCTCTACTCCTATTATTGCTAAACTTGCATTCCATATACTCTGTCTTAGCCAGGCTAATTTTAAAACCTTACGATTCTAAAGCATCTTCTCAAGTTCTAACTTTGTGATGACACCGCTTCGGGTCTCAATGATCAAAATTATGGCATAGAAATCATTAATTCATTGCATTCCTTTGGTTATCTCACTTTGTCACTTTAAAGAGACAATCTTAGTGGAAGGATGCTCCGACAAAATGATTGTATCCTATTATTGACATGGGGGCAACAAGAACTTATATTAAGACACCAAACTAAATCTGAAAAGCTTTTTTAACAAAAAAGGAAATTAGGAGCTTACGAAGTGTCTACTTCCCACCCTTCCTCCCTGGATTCATTGTTTCCCATGCTATGAATCTGAAAATTGAAATGATCAAAAAGGGTATGAATTTGAAATGATGGCACTGCAAGGGCAGCAGATGTTAGCCAAAAGAAACCCACGATGTGTACATTGATGCCTTTTAGATCAAACAAACGTCTCCTTCACTACAATGTCCCGAGGACCAGAATGCTTAAGCACAATATTACATGACTTTATCTCAGTTGAGGCGGTACATTCTTCAATATCATCAAGACCAGCAGGAGGGTAGAAGGATTGACTATTAACATTACAAATTTGGTCCTTTGCAAATGAAAATATGTTCTTTCTTGTGTGCAGTAATAGGAGACAACTTTTACTAGTCAGCTCCGTAAAAGATCATCAGGGTCAGTATTTCCTTCTTAACTTCAACAGAAATACAAAGAGGCGTTGATATTTAATCCAAACTCTAAAAGCCAGATAGATAAGGTTTTCATCTTTCCAAAAAATCATAGAACCACCATAACAGTTCAACAATCTTCTCACATTACTTCATAATTGGTGGTGCAACAACCTCATTACCAAGTTGTCAGATAAAAAAACACCCCCATAAATTCTGATATAATAAGCCCAAACATGTATTGCAATTGCATCTAATGACATAAAGCCATAAAAACTCAACCTTTAAAGCAAAAATGTTAATTATCAAAAGAATTTAGAAAAGTGCCAATTATGAAATAAGGATATACAGAAAAAATACAAACTAAAAGGCGCCCAATGGAACACTGAAATCTGAGAAAAGACTTATGTTGTCAAGGAAGAGTTAAAGGTGACGGAGAATATAACTAAGGCATGTGTAACACATCAATATCAAAATTGAAAGAGAAATAAGCTTCAGATGAGAAGCAGGAGAAATACCTGATTCAGCTGCAGGAGATGGAGATGCATTATCTTCTTCTTCTGCCTCTTCTCCTTGTTCCTCTTCCAGTTCTTCTCCTTCCTCTTCCAGTTCTTCTTCTTCTTCTTCTCCTTCTTCCTCTTCCAGTTCTTCTTCTTGTCCTTCTTCCTCATGATCATCCATGGAAACCTCCCCAGACCGACATTGGTAGGTCTTCTTGAGCCAAGAGTAGTAGCGAGAGGCAATGGCAGCGTCAGAGTTAGGGTCAGGGGCATCAAAGAGGAAGGCAAAAGCAGGGTTCAAGGCCTTATCGAAGCGAGCCCTGTCCTCGCAATCAATACCCCTCTGGGAAACCTCACATGCAAGCTCCTCTGCCGCCCTCCTCATCTCTGCATCTCTAGGAAGCAGCGGCCCTCTGTCCTCCTCTGTCTCATTTGCCATCTCTTCTTCTAATTCTTCTTCTAATATATAACTTCTTAACATACAAATTGCAAACTTAGCAGAATATTTGGAATGAGGGAATGGCGCCCCTCAACGAAGTATTACAACAAACAACTCAGGCGCAGAGGCCTCGGTCTCTTTAATGGCCTCAGTCTCTCTAATGAGAATGACAATGACAACAAGTAAAAGGAAGGGCCACTCTCTCTCTCTCTCTCTAAATAACAATAGGAATGAGAAAAGGAAGAAGGGCCTTTCCCTCTCGCTCTCTGATCTCTACTCTCTCTCGCTCATTTCCTCCCCCTGGTACCGTAGATGTGTGAATGAGAATGCCTTTGCATTGTTGCATTATATGAAGTCCCTTGTTTTATATCCTTTTGTGTCACGCGGCGTGCTTTGATGAAAGTTACCCTGTTCTCAAAAGGAAATTGCCCCGGTGCACACTGTGAGCATCATACAGCGGGACAACAGGAGTATCATGGTACGCAATCAGGGTAAGGGCCAACTCCGCCTTGGCGGGTTCCTTGCTGGTCATCTCGGTCCCAACCCTAATAAATGACGAGCTTCGTGTTAGATAGGCAAACTAGCATAAAAAAATGTGACAATTTATCATAAAAATTCAACCCCAAAAAAACGAATTAAAGTCTCTAATAATGATGATGAACTGAGGTATCAGTCGTCAGTTCCCAGTAAGAACGATGAGTTTTAGTCACGTTGTACTATTGATGCCCTTTTGCTTCGAGCAATAATAATAGACAATTAATGCCCTGTAATGAACCATAGCATTGCGTAGTATAATAAGTACATTCTTATTTGCTCATTATACGACAGAGAAAGCTATTCTAAAATTTGGACAAGGCTACCATATATTATACGTCAGAGAGAGCAATTCTAAAATTTGGACAAGGCTACCTTATATATGTAGTTCTGAGAAAAAATTGACAATGTGTCGAAACCCAGATTGGTGGGGTTAGATTGTCCACTCCACAAATCCATGCCATATTACCCATCTTGTTCAACTCAAACGCGTGATATAAAAAAATATTTAAAATAAAAAATAAGAAAGATTAAATGGGAGATTATAGAAGATATAGGGGGACCTAAAAAAATTTAAATTGATAAGAAATATTTGTTTTGAGAAGAATAAATGTATTTTCTATGTATCAATTGGAGGGAAATACATAAATATATATAGAGAAGTTACATTATTTTCTCCATAAATTTGAGAGATAAATCTAGAGAAATAAAATATACGATTTTCTCCATGAATTTGGTAGGTAAATTTGGAAAGATAAAATTGACTTTTGACTAAGTCTAATACTCCCCTCAAGTTGGAGCGTGGAGGTTCTTAATGCCCAATTTGATAAGAAGGAATCTGAAATTTTCTCGACCCAACGCCTCGGTAAAGATATCAGCCACCTGGTGTGAAGAACCAACAAAACATGGTTGAATAAGTCCTTGTTGAAGCTTTTCTCATACAAGATGGCAGTCCAATTCTATGTGCTTTATGCGTTAATGATGGACAAGGCTACCTTATATATGTAGTTCTGAGAAAAAATTGACAATGTCTCGAAACCCAGATTGGTGGGGTTAGATTGTCCACTCCACAAATCCATGCCATGTTACCCATCTTGTTCAACTCAAACGCGTGATATAAAAAAATATTTAAAATAAAAAATAAGAAAGATTAAATGGGAGATTATAGAAGATATAGGAGGACCTAAAAAAATTTAAATTGATAAGAAATATTTGTTTTGAGAAGAATAAATGTATTTTCTACGTATCAATTGGAGGGAAATACATAAATATATATAGAGAAGTTACATTACTTTCTCCATAAATTTGAGAGATAAATCTAGAGAAATAAAATATACGATTTTCTCCATGAATTTGGTAGGTAAATTTGGAAAGATAAAATTGACTTTTGACTAAGTCTAATACTCCCCTCAAGTTGGAGCGTGGAGGTTCTTAATGCCCAATTTGACAAGTAGGAATCTGAAATTTTCTCGACCCAACGCCTCAGTAAAGATATCAGCTACCTGGTGTGAAGAACCAACAAAACATGGTTGAATAAGTCCTTGTTGAAGCTTTTCTCATACAAGATGGCAGTCCAATTCTATGTGCTTGATGCATTAATGATGGACTGGATTAGCCGCAATATGAAGGGCCGTTTGGTTGTCACAATAAAGAGTCAAAAGCTCATTATGAGAAATGCCAAGATCTTGAAGTAAAAAATTGAGCTATTGAAGCTCACAAGAAACTGATGCCATGGACCTAACTCGGCCTCTGCAGATGTACGTGAAACTATGCTTTGTTTCTTGGTTTTCCAAGAAATTGGAAAGGTGCCGAGGAAAGTGCAGTATCCCGTAGTAGACTTACGAGTCATCGGACAACTGGCCCAATCAGAATCACAATAAGTTGTGACATGAAGTGAGCTGAAAGCAGATAATAGAATACCTTGGCCAAGACTACCTTTGAGATATATAAGTAATTTGAGGGCAGCATCCATGTACGGTTTGAGAGGGGTGTTTCATGATTTGACGGAGAATGTGAGCTGAAAACACAATATTTGACCTTGTTATCGTCAGATAAATGAGCTTGCCCACAAGTCGACGATATGGAGAAGGATTGTCAGGCAATTCACCGTTTGAATTGTTAAGTTTTAAATGTTGTTCCATTGGTAAGTGACTAGGGCGTGCTCCAAGAAGTCCTACTTTGTCAAGTATATCTAAAGTATGTTTTCTCTATCTGAGATAAATACCCTTAAGTGAATGAGCTTCTTCAATCCCTAGTAAATATTTTAGGGGACCAAGTTCTTTGATATGAAACTTACTATGTAAATATTGCTTAATAGTCTCAATAGAATCAACATCATTACCGGTGATTATAATATCATTGACATATACAAGAATAAACACAGAGTGGGACCCTGAAATCATGCTGAATAGTATCCAATTTTGTGTAAAGCAAAGGAACTTAGCAAACCAATTTCTTGATGCTTGCTTCAGGCCATATAAAGATTTATTTAAACAACAAACTTTGAGCTCCCCCTATCTGGAAAAATCGAAAGAAATCTTCATATAGACTTCCTTTGCAAGGTCCCCATATAAGAAGGCGTTATGACCATCGAGTTGTTCAACACACCATCCCGTTATAAAGGCTAGAACAAGAAAGCAACAGACCATGACCAATTTTGCCACTGGGGCAAATGTCTCGTGATAGTCGAGGCCTTCCATTTGAGTATAGCCCTTAATGACTAGATGGGCTTTATACCGTTCAACACTTCCATCCGCATGGTATTTAACCTTGTAGATCCACTTACAGCCAATGGCCTATTTGCCAGGTGGGTGAGAGGTAAGGGTCCAAGTATGATTATCTTCAAGTGCTTTAATCTCCTTGGCCATTGCCTCTCGCCATTCCGGGACTTGCACAACCTAGGAGAAGGTAGAAGGTTCAGGAATAGTCTAGATAGTTACAGTGTATGTTGTCGAAGGAGACGGTGTGGATTGGGTGCGAAAGAAAAGTTGGAAAAATGAACAATAATAGTCCTTAAGATGGGCATGTGGTTTATGGGCTCTAGTGGACTTGCGAGGTCGGTCTTGGATATTATTAGTGGGTAAATGAGAATTGGAGGGCTCGGTGGGTGGGGTACGTTGGGGTAAAGTGGAAGGGAGGGAAGGTGGTGGGCCATGGTTGGGGGCAGGTAAAGGTAAGACACGGTTGGGGTTTCTGTCATGGTGTTAGATGTTAGCATATGGAGAAACATGCTCATGAAAAATGACATCGTGACTGGTGTACGTCTGATGGGTGGCAATATCAAAGATTCGATAACCTTTTGAGCAAAGGGATAATCAATAAAAAATACCCGATTTCGCACGGTAATCAAATTTGTCACAGTGATCGAATTTGTCATGGGGATGAATATTATATGCACTACACAAGCAACAAAAAGCACAAAGACTGTTATAGTTGGGTTTAGCATGGGATAAAAGTTTATAAGGGGACCGGTTATGCAATAGAGAGGAAGGAATGCAGTTTATTATATACGCAACTGTGAAGACACAATCTCCCCAAAATTCAAGGGAAAGATTTTCCTGAAACCATAAGCCTGTGCAACTTCAAGTAAGTGACAGTGTTTACGTTCCACTACACCATTTTGTTGTGGTGTAGCAACACAACTGTGTTGGTATTAATTCTTTGATTTTGAAGAAATGATTGCATAGCTTTAGAGAAATATTCACTCCCATTATTAGAACGAACAATTTGAATTTGGGAGTGAAATGAGATTTTAACGAGAGCAATAAACATTTTCAAATAAAAATTAACTTGAGATTTGTGCTACATGAGATATGTCCAAGTAGCGCGTGAGCAATCATTGACTATAGTAAGAAAAAATTTAGCACCACAAAGAGAAGGAACAAAATATCCTCCCCAAATGTCTATATGAATCAAACAAAATGGAGCATTGTGAGTAATGGTACTTAAAGGAAAATGTGATCTAGTTTGTTTTGCAAGGGGACATACATCACACAATGTATTCTTGGAAACTAAAATATAAGGAAAACTAGAAGCAACATGATGAAGGCAAGAAGAGGAAATATGTCCTAAACAACAATGCCACAAATCCATAGTTAGGGAAGTAGTGGTCAAGGCTACGGGTATGAGTGGTCGTTGGAGGAGGTATAATCCACCTTGTTCTATACCCAATCCAATCGTCGTCTTCGAGGGCATGTCCTGCAAGATACATGAGTTAGGGAAAAAAGTTATGGAACAATTGAGATTCTTTGTGAGTTGACTCACGAGTAAAAGATTTTTCTTGAATGAAGGAATACAAAGAACATCATGTAAGGCCAAAGAAGGGGACATATTTAATGAGCCAACATGAGAAATGTTGGTGTGTTGTCCATTCAGTAAAAGAATAGGTTTAGATAAAGCAAGAGGGGTAGACTGCAATAGTAATGAAATATCACTAATCATATGATCAGTAGCACCACTATCGATAATCCAATAAGGAGAAGAGACATTAAAGGAAATATGGTGCTTACCAGAAAGATTGGCTGAAGGATTGGAGCTACCTGGGGTAAAAAGATAGAGAAGTATATGGTATTGTTCAGACGTGAAAGGCATGGACTGAGTGGAGGAGGTATCATGGCCAAAAGTGGGTGTGTTGCCTAGCAGGCCCACATTGGAAGGTGCTTGAGCAGTTGCAGCTAGCGAGAAAGTCTAACGTTGTGGTTGAAAAGGAGGATGTTGCTACTGTTGTTGACGTCCACCTCGTTGTTGCTGCCTGTTATTACCTCTTTTGGAAAACCATTGAATAACCAATAGTTTTGGACAAGGTGATTATCATGCCCTGTGTTGAAGAAGGTTGAGTGATAGGAATGCTCTTGTGAGCAGCAGCCAAAGCAGATCTCTCAACCAATGTTTTGGTTGAACATGCAGATTGCACTATCTTTCCTCCTGCAGCGGTAGATTGTAAGCTTTGTTTACTGGCGGCAAAGGATCCATGAGAAGGATCTGGCTACAAATCGAGTGGTATGAGTCGTTAAGACCTATAAGAAATTGCATCAATCGCTGTTGGTTCTCAAAGAAGTGGTAGATTTGGAGGCACCACAGGAATATGGTGGAATAGTAGAGATAGAAGAAAACTTATCCCAGTAGGACTTGAGCTTACTAAAGTATGTGAGAATTGAAGAATTGTCTTACTGTAGAGTGTCAATTAAAAAATTCTCGGTGCTTGGCTTTGGGAGAATTGTTCTCGCAGTTCAACCCAAACATCATGTACTAAAATACCATTGTTGATCATGTCAGAAATGTCTCCAG